AAGAGATGGATGAGCAAATGAACTAAGGAATAAACGGACCATAAATGAATACAAGGTGCTTCACCTACTAATTTTATGTCACAACTAATTTTATTTCACACCACAGAACATTTCACAGCACAGAACAGTAAATTCCATAGCATTATAAATACTCATGATTTGCTTAATTAGCAAATCCAGACACCAGAATCAAGGTGTTGTACCTCTTAGTAGCATCATCACAACTAGAGTGGAAAGAGCTAGGATTAGCATGGTGCATGTGGCAAGATTAAGTTAGGAGCCCTCCTGCTCAGAGCACACAGTTGAGGGGGGCTTCTGAGAACCCCACTTTCCACACCACTCCAACAACTGGACCTAAGTTAAAATAATGAACTAACGTGATAAATATGAAGATTGACAGAAATAGGTTTGGTATGTATTTATTTGAAAGAGTTGTGGTAACTTTACCACAACTCAGAGTGACCTAATGCATAATAACAAGGATTTGTAAAATTGGGAAGGCAGTTTTAGAATCTGATATCCCTCCACTCTGATATGTTCTTACCTCAGAAGTCATGGTAAAGGGATTTATTGAAGCTAAACAAAAAAGAAAAAAAGATACATGGGAAAAGATAAAAATGTAAGAGTAAAACATTTAATTTGTAATAGCCAAAACCAAAGGTGTTAATTGAGTTAAGGGGTTCATTGTTCCAAATAACTTGATTTGCTAGGCCAATAAGTTGCCGTTAGGAAAATATAATTGATAAAATGAATGAATCTCTCTCCCCTTTGTTAAGCCCCATTAAAATGAGTAAAAAGTGTTCATCTCCGATGACAAAACTAAGTGGTGAAGAAGCAACAAGAGTCGTCAGTAGATACAGTTTTTTGCTGATGATAAATTCTAGCAGGCAAGAGGAAGCTGGGAGTTGGTGCTAGGTGCAGAAGCTCCTCAAAAGATAGCAGAGCTTTGCATGGCTCAGAAACAGTAAGGGCTAGCCGAGGTGGGCACATGAGGCATGTTCTTAAGACCTTGCCCCTGCTGCTGTGCACAAGTGGAGTCTGCCTGTGCAAGTTCAGACACACCCATGGACATAGAGGAGCTGAGAGTCCAACACCAGGGTGCCAAAAATAGGGAAAAGAGAAATAAGATAGTGAGAAATCAGGCCCTACTCTCTGGGCTCCCTTTTCTAAAAATAGCTTTTATCTCAGCAAGGAAACAGTTATGAGCAGTTAACCAGGGATGTTCAGAAATTGAGGATAAGTGAAAATGCAACAGAGACCAAGACAGAGTTACAAAGGGAAGACAGTGTATAAAACTGAAGTAAATGAACATAAATATTTTTCAAGATATCAGTAATAGCCTGAGAGAGAAAAGAGATGTTTGGTCCAGGAAACAAGGCATAGGGCCCTTGTAAATCTGCATAACAAGAAAAATCTCTTGGAAATAAGGACTGTAGTATTAGAAATTTAAAAATTCAAAATAGTTGGGCAGTGAAGCCAAGGGAATTACCACAAAAGAGAGAAACATTTTTTTTTATTACAAAGTTTATTTTTACATCATTTTGCACTTTTTTTTTTCCATCTCGATTGTAATCCCCGCGTGTTTCCCATCACCAAATC